CAGCAGGAAGCAATTTCTATTTGAGCGGTGTAGCGCGAGTGAGTGCAGTCAACAAAACAACAATCAAACGTACCTCCCTGTTATCCCTGTGGAAAATTGCAATTGCCCCCTCGTTCGATAACAGAGTGTGACAAGATCAGACAAGCCCTGTTGTGTCTGAGACCGGCCAAACATATCTGATGAAAGCTAACGCTGTCAGCTTCACGTAAAAAACAGATCGAAGTGGCGAATCGACATTCCAGATTTACATCTTATCGACACAGCATTCAAGAGAAATTGGCCACATTTATTTGGTGATTCAGGAGTGAAACAATGGCTTCCCATAATTTCATGTTTTACGTGTCATAAATGAGTTTTAGATTGGTGTGTCATGCAGACATTGTAGTTCTTCTCAGGGCAAAACATTCAACGTCACTATAGCAATATTACACACCTACAAAGGAAAGTTTGTACATAGAAACAAAAAGTCACAATGGCCTTACATTTCAAGAATGAAACACTTTTGCTATTGCATGATCTAGAAAATAAAATTATATCTAGACAACATTGGACTAAAATATTACATGACAAACAGCATTAACCATAACTTATCTCACATGTGTCTTGGGTAAATTAAAACATGTTCAATAAATGCTTTACTATATATTAAGCCAATTAGGTTAGCTGTGCAGGGTGATTCTTTCATTAGAAGCAATTTTGACTTTAAATCAAATGGATCTGATGCAATGTAATTTCCATCCCAAATTATACTAAAAACAATCTGTGATTGTGATGAAAATTACATGTGATGTTAATGACATTTTTCAGTTTTGTAGAAAAAGCAAACAAGTTTAACTTTAAATATGCATAATTAAAAATAATTTGAAGTAAAATACTTAAATGCTATCGATTTGGTAATCGAATAAAGCTACTCTCAGATCATGATGTAAAAATCTTAAAAGCAATGATATTTCTCATGTTCAAACTGTGACTCTGCTGCCCTCATCACTTCTCATTTCCCAACAGAACTAAAAATAAATGTTTTTGGAGAAATTAAATAGTTCTCTAAAATGCTTGCCATGCAACAGCAGTTTCTGATACTGTGATTATTCACAAATAAAGAACAAATGGGAAAAGTGCAGAAAATGAAGATTTCTTCTACACTTTTTAGAAATATAAAATGGAAGCTAAAAATTCTGGTGGAGGACAAGTACAAAATTCTGATACAAATGTACTCTTCAACACTCTTACAACAACACATAAAATAGCTGAGCGATTTAAAACTAGAATGATTCTTTTGTTTTTTAATCCTCATAATGCACAGGAAAGTTCCCCTTAATAAAGAATCACCCAGTTAATGTGAAACCATGAATATACTTTTGTTTGTTTAGTGCTTGAACACTCATCCTTTGTGTTTCAGCATTACAGTGGGTTATTTAGGATGCAAAACTGTTTCATCAGAACATTTCTTATAACATCTTATAACTCTATGAATCATTTCAGCTCTTGCTGGTATGCTGTTCTCAGAAACATTATCATCAGGAAGCTGATTAGCCTTTATCATTTGCATAGTTTTGTGTACAGCTGAGTCAAAGCAACATTATTATTACATAACATTTGTAATCATCTGCCATGATGATTTACAGCTTTTTACAGCCTTGACAAAATCTGTTTGACAGCAGACTACATTAACCAACAGTTTTCACGTGATAAATGAATGAACAAACGATCAGTTATTTTGAGAGAATTTCAAAGTGTTTCAGTCTGCACAGAACCCCCAACTGCTCCCCGGGCGCCGCAGCAAAAAATGGCTGCCCACTGCTCCGGGTGTGTGTTCACGGTGTGTGTGTTCACTGCTGTGTGTGTGCACTTTGGATGGGATAAATGCAGAGCACTAATTCCGAGTATGGGTCACCATACTTGGCCACATGTCACGTCACGTCACGTCACTTCACTTCACTTCATATACTTGGGTCACTGACATTCGCATCACTGACCTACCTGCACGAACGTTCTCTACTCTCACTGAATCAAAGCAGCTCAGATGTTTGCATCCTGCTTGTTTGTTACTTAATGATCATTAGCAGAACATCTGGTTTTATTCCATTTACTCACACTGAACATCTCATCTCCTGCTGTGTATCTTAGCAACGTGCGCTGAGCAATAACATTAAAAGAATAGTTTGCCCAAAAATGAACATTTGCCGAAAATGTACTCATCTTCAGATCATCCAAGATGTATACGAGTTTGTTTCTTCATTGGAACAGATTTGGAGAAATTTAGCGGTACTTCACTTGCTCACCAGTGCAGTGAATGGGTGCCGTTAGAATGAGAATCCAAACAGCTGATAAAAACATCACAATAATCCACAAGTGCCACAAGTAAGCTTCCTCCAGTGAAAATGTTCATCCCCGGTTGTCTTCTCACATCAAAATCCACCAACATATTTGTTTAGAACAGTTCTGGAGTTTTTTTTTTGCTTTATTATTTCACTTCTGATTCAGATGAGACAACTTGGAGAAAGTAATAATATGGATAGAGGACTCATATTTCAGCTGGAAGCAACAGAATGAAGTTAAAAAAAATTGAATGATGGATTTGTTTCTTACAAATACACATTTTAACCTCACAAGACATTAATTGGACTGGAATTGTGTGGATAATTGAGATGTTTGGACTCTCATTCTTACGGCAACCATTCACTGCAGAGGATCCATTGGTGAGCAAGTGATGCAATGCTGAATTTCTTCAAATCTGTTCTGATGAACAATCTTGAGAAGAGTAACATCTTGGATGACCTGAGTGCGAGTACATTTTCAGCAAATTTTCATTTTTGAAATGAAACTTCACTCTCTTTTACTCCCACCCTTTCTTTTGACATTTATGAGCAAAATTTCCATGAAGCACCAGAGCCATGCTAACCGATATATCCTGAATTCAGAAGCCTTTTTTACTGGAACTCATTTGCTTCAGTTTTGAGAAACAGCTCCAAGGTCAGAACAGACTCGTAAGTCCCAACAATAAAAAAAGTTTCTGACAATGCTTTGTTGTACCAAAGCATGAAATCTGAATTCTGCTATACAATAATCAGTCTGGGGAAACTCCAGTGTAAAGGACAGGTGCAGACAGAGAGTGAAACCTGCCACTGCTGCAGAGCTGAAAGTGCTAGCAGTGGAATGGAGCCTGAAGCTACGCTCAGCCAACCAGGAAAACACTATCTGTCTAATAAATATGTGAGGCAGGGCTTCTGTCCCCGAGTGTTTCACCTCAATCCAACTGTTTTTGTGTCTAGATGCCTCTTAGATGCTGGGAAACCAATGAATTTAAGACAATACACTGTGATCCTACTTAAACCTGCTGTGTCTGCCTCCATGGCTGTCATGTCGCAATGGGTTTATTTTGTGCTGAGAGGGTACATTTACAGTACACTGATATTTACAGACGTTGCTGACTTGCAGATAACCATCTGCCAGATAAACTATTCAATGATAAGTTATGTGTGATGTGTTTAGCCTTTGTCATCGCGTGAATCTAACTGAGGGAATTATCTTTAGCACTATTCTGACCAGGAAAATTAAAGGTTAAAGATCAGTTGTATAAAGTGAGCATTCGGAAAAAAGATCTGTCTATTTGTTTAAGATAAAGTTGAAGAAGACTAGAATGTCCAGTGCTGTTTCCTTAGCAAAGGTATTTATATATGTTTGACATTTTATTTACACAAATTACTTTTTACACAAACCAAAGGTCTTCGCCTTTTGATCAAATCATAAAAGTATAAATATGACGTGATGCTCATTTGACCGGGCTTAAAATTACTTTAATATACTACTGATGAACAATGAACGTGTTGAAATTCTGAAGAAAAAGAAAAGTAATTTTGACAATTTGTGGGG